ATGTAAAAAGAAGAAAAATTAAAAAATATTTTGCGTAAATCAATTTTGAATAAGGTTGGAATCATTTTCACTTAAGATACGAAAGTAATTGTATTAATAAATATTGTAAAATTTAGAATAAAAAACTGATTATTTTTTTGTAGCTATATTGTAATTAAAATCAAATTAGATTAAAATAAAATTTGGATTTTTATTTAAACCTCTAAAATTTACCAGTATTTATTTATTAAAATCTGGGCTTTAAAGCTAATCCCTAAATCTAAAAAATATTTAAATTTAAATGAACATTATTTAAAATTTTATAAAATTCTATATGTATATAACATTTATGAATATATAAATCTATGTTGGGCTTGTAAATTTTATATATAATTTCTAAATACAGCTCTATGTAAAAATGTACTTCGTGATTGAAAATCTGGCAACTATTTAGGAATTTCCGATGTAGATAATGAACAAACCTACAATACAAATGGGTTGAGCAAAATTTAATGAAAAAAGGCCGTAGATTCCAAAAAAATAAAAATAAAAATAATGACCAAGACAAATTTTATAAATTAGGGCAAAATAAACCATATACAATATGATAAACACGCCACACCCCAGGAGGTAGAGGGGCAATGTTAAACACAGAGTCGCCTTACTACTGCGATTTAGCACAAAACTCGCACGAGGAAACTTTATCTCCCTTACCCGCTAAGCATCTAATTTCGTTAACAATATCAATTTTTTTTTCTGATTGTTGAATTTTATATAAAATTACATCTAGCTTCGGACGCTTTTTCGGATTAGTTTTCCAGCACTTTTTATAAATTTTTGCATAATTTGAAGGTGTGCCAGGAATAGTTTTCTCCCGTTTGCCTAATGCAATATATAGAATTAAAGAAGCTTTATTACGAACGTTCAAAAAGGGCCGAGTTCCACTAGTAAGCTCCCATAATATTACTCCTAGACTATATATGTCTGATTTATGAGTTGGTACGGTCTTTGTATAATCGATAAAAAATTGCGGATCAGTGTATTCAAGAGTAAGGCCTTTCCTATATATGGTTATTAAACTATCGTCAAGTTTCGTTGCTGATCCTAAATCTGATATTACGATTCTATCGAATTGGTTATCATCATTTAATGCCACCAGAATATTATCAGGGTTCTAAAAAATCTGATCCTAATTAGCAATTGATTTCAAACTAAGCAAAATAAAATACTTGGACTGACACTTACCAAGTCTCCATGAGCGATATTATTATTATGCAAATATTTCAGCCCGAGAATGACTTGTCCCGCAATTAGAATAACCTCTGCACACGAAATTCTAAAAATATGTTCGCGGGTTTTATGACTTTTTAAATAATTTCGTAAGGACCCGCCATTTGCATATTGTAATACTATCATATAATTATTTATTTCTGAATTTCTTCGGCTTCCAGAATCTTGAATTAAACAATGTTATTTATAGTTTATATATAACTAAATTTCAAACCTAAAATCAATTCTTACCGATAATTCCTATAAATCCGATTATATAATTTTCATTATTAACTGCCATGAGTTGCTTTACCTGTATAATATCGGTACGTACGTGACATGTTAGCTATGATAGTAGTGACAGGTAAACTACTAAAAAAAGTTTAATGTCACCTCATTAGTAAATGCTCTAACGTCTTCAGATTTGATTTCTTTAACTGCAATCTTTGTTCCACGGTATTCAGCCGAATAAACAGTACTGTGACCACCTTTAATTATTTCAACAATGAAAAATTATAAATATTTATAGATAATTTTTTAAAAAAGCTAATCTTACCTTTACCAATCCTAGTGAAATCACTGAATTCAGAGGAATCAAGAACTCGTATATTGCCTTTTTTCACCATCGTTTCTATCCAATCGTTATACTTAGATGCTAATATTACATAATATTCACATTATTACCGTATTAATAATACGCATTGGTAAATAATTATATAACTCACGATTTTTCTTATCATTCTTTGAAGTACTTGAGGTCCTTGACCTAAGCTTATTAAAGTAAATTAATTTGAGGAAAACTTTCAGCATGACAAGAATCTATGAATGTAGAGTCAAACGGTAATAGTAACGTACGTACGTCCTAAGTAAAAACGCTAATTATCACATGGCTTTGGCACGACTTTAGACATGATGATCTTACTATTTTTATTAACCCTTGTTAAAATTATTTAGTAATAAATCTCTTTTAGAAAAGGGCGTACGTACAGTACGTATGATTTATTGATTATGTAATTAATGCAGTCTTCCGAAGATAAGCTAATTTTGACAATTCTTAAGTCGCCATTTACTTTGACGCATTGTGGTGTGAACAAAGATATGAAAAATAGTCTTTATCAAAGTTCAGTCAGAAACCAAACTTGAGACTTTTGCCTAGTATATCATATTTAAATGAACAAAAAGCCA